GATCTGTCTGAATAGTTTAACAGTCCACTGGACATAAAATTATCATTGAAAATGAATAATGACTTAAATTCCTGTCCGTTTCTGACTCAAAGCTTTTGTAAGACTTCAGAAGACTTGCAATACAGTGGACAAGTTGAATGGACCGCTTATATGATGCTTTTATGCTGCTTTTGTTTCCTTTTTGGAATCCTGAAAACCTCAGTTCCCAAGCAAAGACTAAAAGAGCAACCAGTGCAATTTTCAAAATTTATCCTTTATGTTCCACAGATCATATGGATCAGATCAAAACCAAATCATATGGATTAATAAAGGCAGTAAATTATTGCAAATTTAAAGTTTTTAAAAATTATTTTGAAATTTTGTGGCACTAAATTTCATAGTGCCATAATAACATAATATGTATCAGAGTCTAGTGCTTTAGTTTATCAACTGACCTTGAAACGCTTTGCAGTAAACCATAAAAGAGAGCTGAAAAAAGAGGGCACACAACAAATCCGCTCTGCCAACAATGCCAGCCACCTACAAGACAGAGAGCCAACAGAGGAGATTATTCACAAGATCAATTCCAACTAAATACTTTTGGAGAGCTAAAGGACACCGTCTCATCAAGCATCATCCATCATCAAGCAGATCACGGCCATGAAATCCAGCCCAAGGTCATTCATTTTTTTAACAGCAGCTACACATTTTACACTTAAACAAATTAAATCCTGCTTGTACATTAAAGGCAAAAAAACAGGCAGCATAAAAATATCCTTCGCAGCCCTCTCGTCTGTGAAATTGCTTGTATTTCTGGCAGTGCCAAATTAACGATGAAGGCAGGAGGCAGCACTCATTACAGAACTGCAGTCGGCCCTGGCTGGAGTCCTGGGGCCACCTTCTTTGATTCATCCCGTAGGCCCAAGTCAGTGGTCTATCTGAACCGCACCCCCTCCAGGTCCAGGGCCGGTCTTTCTGAACCTGATTAAAGAGTAGTTACGGCAGACTCTACCGTGCTCGGACGCATCCATGGCAGGTCAGAGCGAGCGTTCGGTAGCTGTTAATAGCCACAGCTGACTGTAGAGCCCACCTATGTGATGCACACCAGCTGCGTGAAGCTTTCTTCTCCACGGGCCTTGTAATGTATATTTCATGCGACATCAATAAACATTGTGATATGGAGCATTGTAGTCAGAGATTGTTTACCGGGCAGAGACGGCCAGCTGAATCACGTCTTCCCACTCTACTTACACTTTCCGTGTGAACTGGATGTGCAGCAAAGAAGAGTGCAGCCAGGAAGGAAGCTTTTGGAGAAAGATTGAGTTTCACCCCTCTTCCATCGTGAACCAGGCCGCCAATTAATATTGCAAACACATCGATCATTAACACAGAAATAACACAGTGGAGGGCAATGTTGAGCACGTGGAAGCCAATCGGATGCAGTCCACCAGCCAAGAGGTAGTTGATCCTGGGAAAATAAGTAAAAGCCACAAATTGCAATGATTAAAACTAACTTTTGACTTGTGCAATGATCACAAAAGTTTTGTATATTTCTGAAACATAAAACAGCAGAGCTGCGATGGCATCACAGCATTGTAGAGTAACTTTTATGGTTGAGTTGGTCTAACGGGCCATTACTGATGCAAAACGATGTCATTCTCATTAGCAGCATGCAGGACATGAATTATGCCCCCTATATAGATTCCTCACAGTTGCAGTCAAATGCCAAAAACAATACTAAAAGGAGTTTGAAAAAAGGCAATATATGCATCCAATTTTAATGTCAATTATTGCAGCATTCGGTGAGGAAGCACTCGGGGGACCTCTTTTGATTTCCCACTGAGAATAAAATTACAAGTCCACACTATAAGCAGGTTGGACTATTACCTTGTGTTAATCATCAGTCACCCAGCAGCAATTGAAAGACTCTTTTGTCTTTATGGTGAACGTACCTGAAGGTCAGGACGGTCAGCGGCCGGTAGGATTTGTAACTGGAGTTGCTATTTAGGTTACTTCCCCAAAAGTCATTTTTCCAGATGTTACTCAGAGGAGTGTCAGGATTCAAATCCTACGAATTGTAGAAATCACATGGGTTTGCATTAAAAAATTTGCTATTTTATATATACATATATAGAGAGAGAGAGAGAGAGAGAGAGAGAACAACAGTCAATGCACAAAACTTAAGGCTATAATACAAAGGAAATCTGTTGAGACAATGTATATAAAGTAAACACTGCAAAAAGTCCTCAAATATTATACTATTAAGGTTGTGACATGTTTTGTGTTGAAATCACAACCGACCATTACAACAATATACATGTTTAAATGGATAGTTTATCCAAAAAAGAAATCCAATCATCATTTACACAAAGAGAATGTCAAAGCTGCTTTTTTCATACAATGAAACTGAATGTTGACTACGGCCACGGTCCCCATCCTCCATTGTCACTGTATGGAAAACTAAATGTACTGCATGTATGATTCATGGGTTTGAAATGACACGAAGGCAAATGATGTCAGAATTTAGATTTTAGGTAAACTATTACTTATATAATAAACAACTGAACAAATAAATCAATTAATAACCAGGGTTGAGGGTGACACCTTGTTATTGATGATGGCTTCTGAATCATCAAAGACAAAGTCCCCATCATAGCTGTTTATGAAACAGATCAGGGCAACAAAGGCAGTGACCAGCCGGGAGTGCAAGGGTCCCAGTTTTGGCAGGGGGATGTGATGATCCCAGTAAGGCTCAGAAAGCAGCATCTTTCATGTGGTTTCTGTTCATTCTGACCCACCACTGTGATGCAGAACAATGAAAGCAAGTGGAAGGTAAAATAGCAAACTAACACTCCAAAAATAAGAAGCGAAGATGGGCGCATGGACTGAACATACCTACTGTATGCATTAGAAAAGACAGCGTGACATCTCAGCACAGTTGCATGCTTTGCTGCATGGCTGTACACACAGATGCAGGCGATGCATAGCAACCAGCTGTCAAAGCGAGCAAAGGATACGAAACCATTCACACTTTCTACGTTGTCTGCTCGCGCGAGAATGACGATCGTCAAAACATGATCCACAAATAATAATGGTATAAACGTGCACTGACGTCAATAAATGTCTGCCCGCCGAAGAGGACGATTTACAATATGTCGAAGACGAGCAATACAAGTTTAAATCACCGGTGTCAAATAAATACGATGCAGATATCGCTAAACCACACGAATGTGAAGATAAAGGCTTAATACGTGGCTAAACGATGGCTGATCCCTGTATGAGCCTCTCGCTTGTACTTCCTGCTAGCGCGCGGAGAAGAATAGACTGTGTGACGTCACGTGACCTGAGCCAGCCAAGTGGCTATCATGCGAGGACTCACACAAACAAATGAATGCTGCACAGTAGACGGCTACATGACATGAAATGTCACGCAGTGAAACAGAGCGATATTGTATGTTACTTCATCTAAAATGGATTAAGACCCAGACATTTTTGGCCAAAAAGTAAATGAATAAAATAAAAGAGAAAGAACATTAAAACTAGACAAAATGTCTAGATATATCATATTAAACACTGATTAATAATTTTTCTCAATATGCATAATGTAAATGCTAATTATATGTCAACTTTATATAAACATCTGAGCCCAAATCAACAGCATAGAGTGACATGGTGGAACAGCATGTATGTGATCCAACAATCCAAACTGAAGGAGTGGATAAATGAAATGTCACAGTGCACCCTAACATTTCTCTGTCTGGCAAATAGCCATTCAAAGGGTGAAATGATCAACATTATTGAAGGGGCGGCTGTAAGTAACCAAACTACATGCATCCACACCAAGAGGTTTCACTATAAAGTGTACTATTGGGAGGAATAAAGGACTATAAAGTACTATTAAAGGAATAGGTCACCCAAATATGAAAATTTGCTGAAAATGTACTTACCCTCAGGCTATCCAAGATGCAGTGTGTTTCTTCATCGTAACTGAGTAATCAGAGTCCAAACAGACTTGACTCTAGTCCATCAATTAACATCTTAAGTGAAGTGAAAAGCTGCATGTTTGTAAGAAACAAATCCATCATTAAGGCACATCATCATTAATATGTTTCCTCTAGTGAAAAAGTCTGTCTCCTGTCGCCCACCAACATATTTGTTTACATCTTTGTTTAGATTTGATCTGTGCACATTTCTATTCTAATTCAGACAAGACACATTTTCACTGGAGAAAGCAATATTATGGATAGAAGAGTCGTATTTTAGCTGGGAGCAATGGTTTAAAGTTAAAAACCTCTTAATTATGGATTTGATTATTGCACACAGCTTTTCACTTCACAAGACCTTAATTGATTGGCGCCATGTGGATTACTTAAAGATTACTGTGATGTTTTTATCAGCTGTTTGGACTCTCATTCTGACGGCACCCATTCACTGCTGAGGATCCTTTGGTGAGCAAGTGATGTAATGCTAAATTTCTCCAAATCTGATGAAAAACTAATTCTTGCATGGCCTGAGGGTGAGTGCATTTTCAGCTAATTTTAATTTTAGGGTGAACTATTCCTTTAAGAACCATATGCAATATAACAATGTAACCATGTGAGTCATACAATCAGATTTCAAACCTATGAAAATTGTGTTGCATTGTATATCTAAACACAGTTTTATTTGCATATTTGACTTTATAATTGGATAAAGGCCACAAACTTAGGCTTAATCTTGAGTAACGTGCAGTTTTATATTGTTCATCCTGTTGTGTTTACCTATAAAATACACCCTGAACACACAAGCTCTGAGGTAGTTTAGATTTCAGGTACAATAGTGACAGCGTGTCATAATGATGATTGTCTCTCATTTTGAACCGCTGACACATCACTACTCACTCAGCAACACAAATACCACTGTGGCCAGTCCTCCACCAGTCCCCATCTCATGAGGGATGACATCACAGAGATTAGCTGTAGCTGTCTGACCCCTGGTACAGACATTTCAAACACTCGCACCAGTGGCAGAGCTTTGCACTATCAATAGAGGCTTTGAGCGTGCAGTGAAACCGTTCCCTTGTTCCCCTATGGTGTGATGATACATTGTAAGAGCCGTGGATGGAACTGTCCAGTCATATTGCTGACATATTTCAAAGAGGGTAACAACCCTGAAACTCCTCAAGTTAACAGAAATCAGTTATCTGAGTTACCACAGAGATTAAGACTGAGTTTAGAAGCAGAGTAGTGACAACCTGTTGCAATCTCCTGTCTCTTAGGAGAGTCAGGAGAAGTGTTCTTCCTCCATGGGCTTCAAAATGAGGTAAGAACTATCTATATTTTCTTAGTTTGCCTTCTTGCTGTTCCCAGCTCCGATCTTTTCCCCTCTTCCAGCTTAGTAATTCACTTTAATGAAAGAATGTGTAGTTATAGCGGTGATTGATTTAGTCTGATGCAGAACATTTGCACAATAATATTGCCTCTGTCCTGTTTGTACTGTCATAGACTCACATTAAGACTAATTACTCCACAAACTAATAACCTTATTTACATTGCAGTTGTCACACACATGATTATCATGAACAATTTGCGGCCTAAATAAAGGTATGAATTTGGATCCCACACAGATCCAATCAAATCCAGTAAACTCGTTGTCCTGTGTGTTTCTCATATCAAGAGTATTGCGTACTTTACAGCAGCTTTATTAACTGAATGACCACATAGAGGCACAAAGATTTGGGTGCAAACCTCATATTATGAAAATACTGTCTTTTAATTGTTAACATTTTGAGCAGACAATAACAGAGTGTCATTCTCTGTTGATCTCAGACCGAATGAATGATTGTGTTGATTAAAAGTAAGTTTAGCTGTTGGTATTGAGGAATTTATCAATTCAATTTAAGTTTATTTGTATAGCGCTTTTCACAATACAAATCGCTGCAAAGCAGCTTTACAGAAAATTAAATCTGCGTCCCAAATGACGCACTATACACTATGCCCTCATACACTATGTACTTATGTACTATGTACTCAACCATGTATAGTATGAATTATATAAATTTATTTTGTCATTCATAATCTGAGTCTGATAACCCCTCCCAAATCAGACTAAAGTTTTTTTTTTAACAGTGAGCAATGCCAGTATTTAATAGATGTATTACAATTAACAAATATATCACTAAAGATCAACTGTTTGTGGAGCATTAAAAAAATTATAGGTGTCTAAAATCCATTACAACATATATTATAATGACATTATTAAAACAATATAATTTAAAAAGTTATGTTAAAATATTTTAATAATAGTAATATAATAATAATAAAAATATTTTTATATTAGCATTTAGCATATTGAAATTGAAAATGAGTTGTCTCATAAGACTGGCATCAAGATAAATGTAATGATTTGTCTGTAATACCTGTTCTAGGTAAAGGAGTAACACCTTTGCCCGCTGCCCACATTTATCTTGCCAATGTTAAGGTCCTTTTGGGAGAGGAAATCACAAGTGTGTTTGACTCGGCCCCCTCCTTGCAGCCGGTGGCCCCTTGCCGTGGCCATTAGGAAGATTCTCAGTCTTACTGGAGCAATGACAGGTGAAATGAAGCACAAAATACTCTCTGTGTTTGTTTTTTGCGTTCTCTTTCGCTTAGACACAAATTGGAATGAAAAAAAAGGATAAATATTCATAAGTAAAATTTTGAAGTAGGCATAAAATAAGTACAATGAAATGTAAATAAATTATACACACACACACATAAAACATTATTTACATTTAATTTATTCAGTACATTTTTCTTAAAAAGTAAATCAAAAGTAACAGATTTGGTGCAATGTTATGCATATTAAAATAAAAAAATTAAAAAAAAATGTAAAATAAATTAATGCACTCTCACATAACACAGGTGTTTTCGCCAACAATCATAAAGTTAATAAAATGCGTTTCTTGCATTGTTTAGTTGCAGAAAAGGTTTGTGGCCCATGACATTGCGTGATATCCTGCCATTTCCTCACTTTCATGCCATTTGACCCTGACCTTTCCTTTCTTTCATCATTACATGTACCGTCAGATTGCAAAAAAATCAATGTCTGTCACCCTTTCTGGGATCACAAGACATTACATCCCCATGTTCTTTGATGACTTGTCTGTCACTTTGCATTTGGGCCATTGGCTCTGGAGCCGGTCAGGAGAGAGGGGAGGAGCCCCTCATTAACAGATTTCCCCCTCATATAAATACCAAAGTGCTGCAACCAGCCAACTGATCTTAAATCCATATTTCATGCATTTCGCATATGGGGGGAATTATCAGTGACCGAAAAAAATCAGAACGTGTGGTATTTATGCGTATTTAGCAGACAAAACACTGAAATGCAGCTAAATGATTTGAAGGGGTGTCTGCATTAAGTAGAATAAATATGTATTGTGTTTAAATTATCTTATAGACAGCAAAACTGATGCATCAAAACTAAGCAATTTTTTTTAAATAACTAATAAAGTTCACAAAATATTGCATAAAGTATTGTATTATCATCACAAAAACAATATATACTGTAATTTGTCATGCATTGTTGTATTTGTGTTCTGTGATGAAATAGTTTTCTTTGTTTTTGTAGATGAAAGTCTTTAAGTGAAAATGTCTCTGAGGGGCCGTCAGGGGCCTCCTAAACTGGAGCGACTGGAGTCAGTCATGAGCCAGTTCTCTGGCAGCTTGGACCAAGATGACCTACAAGACGACCCAGAGGAGCTGGACTTAAGTGGCCATACTGACCTCTGTGGAGGTAAACTGCACAGTACTGTGTCCTCGCTTTCATCCGTGACCTCACAGGACAGCTGACCTCACAGAAGGAAAGTGTCATACGCCTCTATATTGGACTTTGAGATGCTGAGACAGTGTAGTGCAATGGAAACACAGTCTTTGCACAGCTGATACTCAATACTGACTGCAACTCTTTTATACAAGTTACTGTTAGAAAAAAAAAAATCTGATAAATATAAGTTGATCAGTAACTGTAAATTAAAATTTGACCCCAAAAATTACTGAGTGAATTTAGACGAAATATGCAAACCTATTGCTTGCATCTTTTTACCCATTCTGGCATAATTAAAGTTTTTGATTAATGTTGTTTATTGAATTTCGGTGTTTATTTAATGTTTATTGCTAGACGAATTCAAGTTTTGTATATACTGTATTTAAACATGTCACAGATTGTGGTAACAGTGTTGCAAAAATTGCAAACCTCATATAAAATAAATAGAAAATCCAGCTCATATAATATTTATTTTGACCTCCTGAGGCTGACGATCAATTTTTTGTCCTGAATGTTAAGCACCTCACTGACTATATGAAGAAAAGGTTTCAGGCTCTATGTTGTACCCTGTTCACAGAAAGTGCAACTCATGCTTAAGTGCAACTTAAAGCAGTGCGTGTCCATTGATATTTCCAGGAACAAATATGTTAATTTCAGCAGGTAAAAGCACATACTTACTAAAATCATTATCTGATGCAGAGCAGATTTAGCCTTGAGAAACTTCAGAGCACACAGCATACTATACACCTCCAGCTGGAGTCTTCAATCGCTATCCTGCTGACAGTCAAATGGAGCCTTCAAAACTTCAAAAGATGAAAAGCCAAACAAACTTTTTCTAAAAAAAAAAAGCTGTACTTTTAGATTGCTAAGATGCTATCAACTATTTTAAAATACAAGGCCACCATGAGTCTGAATGATTACTACAACATCAAGGTGTGTGTCAATGTTTTCTCACCTGGATCATGTGATTATCCCTTGAGATATAATCACTACAGTGAGCCTAACATTTCAATATTATGATTGTTTTCAGAACCAAGGAACATATCCTTTCAAGCAATATACAACTTTCTTCCATTCAAGTCCCTGGATGGTGTCATATTTCTCGAAGAAGTGCCAATCCTAGTACAAGTGACAGAGGTGGAGCGATTCACGTCTACAAGGGTAATAAAAATAAAAGCACTATAAGTGAATCACTTGCACCTTTCTTGGTAACACTTTATAATAGCTTTCATTGATAAATTATTAACAATATTATATAATGCTTAACAGCTCATTAGTTATTATACATTCAAATATCTAGAAATATGAGATAATGTGCTTGTTGATGTTTACTAATATACTTATTAAACATTACCTAATGATTAACAGACCATTATTTATTGTAAATTAAAATGCTTACAAATGTCATTAAACTTCATATGATCATACACTTTAAAAAAAATATTCCAATGGTTTTGACAGATGGTTTACAATGAGTAAAAGCTTCATTAATAAATCATTAACAAACATTATATAATGCTTAATGGATCATTAGTTAATGCATACAAATGTCAAACTTTTAATTCATATGATCATGCACTTTTTAAAAATCTACAAATGATTTGAATGGAAATTATACAATGATTAAAAGCTTATTTGTTAATGTACTTTTGAATGCTAACAAATGTCATTAAACTTCAGTTCACATATTACCTAATGCTCTTTTTTTCCCCCACTTCACAAAACTATTCATGTTAGCATATTATTCATTAACTCATAATCACTCTGTAAAGGTCATATTTTTGGTCTTCGTTTATTGTGTAGACTTCTGCTACTTTAAATCATTTATTGATTATTTGTTCATGTTTTTGCAGTACCCAATCTAAAGTGGAAACTATATATCTTTTGGAAATGTTTATAAACATTTACTAATCATTTAGTACCTTTATGAGTAGTCAACTTGATGGCAAAATGTCTCCCAAATCACCTGAATTCACCCTGTTTACCCATATTTACAAATAATGTATTAATCATCTGCTCATGTTTTTGCAGTACCCAATGTAAAGTTCAAACTATTCATCATCTTTAAATGTTTACAAACGTTTACTAATCATTAGTATCTTTATGGGCATTGGACTCTTAGCTGCTGTAACAAGGTTTGTGTAAAGGGTGGTTTGTTAAGTTTAGCTAAACACTGACATTACACAAACTGTAATATGGGTGCCATACATGCTTTTATTGCCTCAACACTTATATTAGTACACTACTTTATAACATTAAATAGGGTACTCCTTGAATCATACATCAACAGGAGAAAACAAATAATTTTTTCAAGAAAATACTTTATTTGTTTATTTATCAAAACAATGTAATATCAACAGATTGAACTGTGTTCCCTTATAGTAAACAAACTGACCCCTGTACACTTCTGACCCCTAACCAACCCTTAAACCTACCCATACCACAAACCTGTCCCTAATCTTACCCTTATCACACCTCAATAACAGCCAAAGTGTTGAATCATTATATAACATCTGTTAAAGTCATTTGTAGATTTTCAAGAAGTGCATGATTATACGAATTTGAAATCATATCATATGAAAGTCATATTGAAGATCATATGAATGTTCAATGACATTTGTAAGCATTTTAATTTACATGAAATAATGACCTGTTAATGATTGGGTAATTTTTTTAATAAATGTATTAATAAACATTAACAATCCCATTATACCACATTTCTAGCTATTATATATATTAACAAATGATCTGCAAAGAATTATCTAATGTTTGTTCATTATTTATTAATGAGAGTTATTATAAAGTGTTACCGTACCATGTCTCATAATTAGATATGTGTAAAAACATTCAATCAGTTCTTGTTTCTTGAAATGATCCATTCAAAGGTGCTGAATCCCAACCTGTATACAATAGAGTTGAGCCATGGAGATTTCAAGTGGAAAATCAAGCGTCGTTTTAAGCACTTCCAGGCACTTCATCAGGAGCTGCTCAAATTCAGGGCCCTCTTAAAAATCCCCCTGCCAGGCCGAATGTAAGATGTGCTGGACTAATTTCATCTCTATATGCATACATTCTCTCACAAACATGCCACAAGTCTTGAAAACACAATTCACCCCATTGCTTTTTGAGTGTTTTCATTTTTCAATTGGGTGTACTCAATTTGTCCCAGATGTATTCTCGTTAGCGCCCCCGAACCCTACGAAAAACCCTTTTCTCAGCCTCGCTGCACTGTTACTTCTCAGTTAATCAAATCAGAGGTGCTTTCATGGACACACGACCCCAATCTTATGAATGATTAAATATTGACAGTTAGGTTTCCTCTTTTTGACAGTCACTCAGTCAAAAGGTCATTCAAAGGCCGTAAACTGATTCATGGAGAACACATCCCAGCATTACCACGACGACCTGATGCCCTCGTCAAGGAGGAGCAGCTCATCAGCAGAAAAGTTACATCTATTATTTTCAGTTCACTCTTTATTGCTATACTATATACACATACGTAAATATAAATATATATATGAATAATTTATGCTACAATTGATGTCATTATATTTAAACATGTTTATTTCAGTTTTTCAATCTTCATTTTGTTCAAACAGCTGCAACTTGAGGACTTTCTGAGGAATATATTGAAAAAGCCTTTATACAGGACACATCCTGCAACAGTAAGTCACAGCTCAAATATTTTTCCTTGTCCGTGCCCTTACAAAAAGTACTGTTGCAGTACCATGTGATGGTAATACAATGGCATTACTGAATGATCAAAGAGCATTAAAGAATAGTTTTATTATCATGTTACCATGCCCAAAATAGCATAATACTATGGTACTTTCTGTGTATAATGAGAATATAATGACTGTATAAACAATTTTTACTCACAAATTTTACTAATATCATCTATCTGTGCAGTATTATTGTCTAGCAATAGCCCTAGCAGTAAAAAAAAAATAAAAGCATTTTATTTATTTTTGCAATGACAAAAACACGTATTAAATCAGCATTTTTGTTTTGGACAGGGCACTTACTATCAAGTGCTCCACATATAGGCAGGCTCATTGGTGGGGGCACTCCATAGATGAGTTTTCTCAAATATTTGGACAGGACTTTCTGAGGGAAAACCGCCATGGGTCTTTCACACCTGTTAGAGAAAACACTACATCAAAATGGTGAGAAATTATGCTGCCACATTAATTATTTAAATATATTATGATACTCCAATGAAAACAATAAAATACATAATTCATTATTTCTAAATATATTTAAATTGGACAATATTTTTGATTTAATTTAAAGTATTACAGTAATCTCAGAAATTCAGCTAGTCCCTCATTCTTTGTTCTTTTTATGTCGACATTTGAGCAACACTTACCAGAACATTTTCTGTTAAATCTCTGTGAAGTTCCCTGACACAGTTCTTAAATGAAGCGCCCTGTGCTACTTTTGAAGGTTTGTCAACGCAGCTGGATACTTTGATGCCATAGCTGATGCCCTGGAAGAAGCAAAGGAGGAAATCTTCATCACAGCCTGGTGGTACAGATTAAAATCAGTTTCAATTACTCCCCATGTGCCTAGCTTTTACAATTCTGTGAGAGCTTATGTCGCACCTTTTAATGCACCATTTTCCATTGCTATTTTTTGTGACGGCAATGTGATTTGAGATGTTTTACAAAAGGAGAAGAATATATAAATGGTTTTGTAGTTGGCTAATTTGCTCATTGGCTAATCATTTTAACAATACCCACTGAACCAAACAAGTATATATTTTAAAGGAATAGTTAAATAACAACTGAAATTTCTGTCATTATTTACTCACCCTGTTGTTCTAAACTGTGTGACTTTCTTTCTGTGGAGGAGAATTTTGAAAAGATTGCCCAGGATGTTCTTTAAAAATTCACCTTTTGTTTTTGGTAGAATAAAAAGAGCCATACATGTTTGGAACAACATGAGGCTGAATGAATTGCGACATAAATCCATTTTTGGGTGAACTATCCCTTTAATATAACAGAAATAAAGAATGAAAGTTGTCAGAGCATTGATTGGGTTTGATATGGCCCTCAGGTTAAGCCCAGAAATCTTCCTCAAACGACCAGTAGTAGACGGGAACATGTGGAGATTAGACCATGTCCTCAAGCGGAAAGCAGTGAGTCTGAACACCTGCTCAAATCTGGACTTCAGCCAGTTTAATTTTACATCTCACACATCCATATATTATGTTGCACCTCGCAGTTCACCCAGTTCTTTTTGGTGTTCCCAGTCCAAAAGTTGTTTAACAATATTTTGTCTTTTGTCAACTCAGCAAGAAGGAGTGAAGATATTTGTCCTGCTCTTCAAAGAAGTCGAGGTAGTGATGGGTCTCAACAGCGAGTACACGAAGAAGACCCTGATGGGACTTCACCCTAACATCAGGGTGAGTCGATCAGTATGTCAAACATTGTCAAAAGCAGAATCTTGCCCAGAAATGTCAGTATTACAGAGGGGACCTGCCTCTCCAAATCAGCTTTTCACTCTTACGTCTACTCATATCTCTCCAAGAACTAAGGTTCAATCAAAACAAATCATAGAAAGCACGAGAGTGCCCAGCGTGCCCACTACCTCCGGACACAAGCATAGCATGTTACTTAGATCATGTTTGGACACTGCCAAAATTCTCTGTAGTAGAATGAGGGGGATCGCTGTGTTGGGAACCCTACGGATCGTGTCTGGAGATGGTCAGGTTCTTCCTTGCCGATCTTCTCCAAAAGAGCCTGAGGCTGCAAGTCTGCTTTCTCCCCTGGTGCCACAGAGCTTCTGTGGCACCATAGCACTGCAGTATTCATCACCGTATCACCCCAGGCCGGTGTGTGATTGACGTGCTGTCACATTATCTTATTGGAGTGCTGGTTGAGTCTAGGCAGAGGAGTGACACTGGGAAGTGGCTTGGGATCCACACCCCAAGGATGTGTGCGGCAAAGCAGCTGGGTGGAGGTATTCCTGGGCCCTGCTGGTGTAGAAACACCTGCCAGGGGCGGCGTCCTCCAGAGGCTTCGCCATAGCTGGTGGAGACGCAGCTGTTTCACGCAAAGGTTGACACCATCTACATTGTGGTGTTATTTTTGGCCAATGGTCCACTGTATTTCTTTAACTGATATTTGGGATATTTGATCAATTGGCAAAAGAGTTTGTCAAATTGGGTCTTGTAAAATCTTTCAGGTTATCCTCATATTCATATGTTCTGGTTGTATATTGCATATTTTGGCACATGTAATATTTTATTTAGGTATTTCATATACCGTTCGAAAGTTTGGGGTCGGAATGATTTTTAAAATGTATTTGCAAGAAGTCTCTTTTGCTCATCAAGTCTGCATTTATTTGATCAAACAGTTAAAACCATAATATTGTGAACTATTGTTACAAATTAAAAGTACTGTTTTCTATTTTAATATATTTTAAGATGTAATTTCTTCCTGTGATGGCAAAGCTGGATTTCAGCGGCCGTTACTTCAGTCTTCAGTGTCACATGATCCTTCAGAAATCAGTCTAATATATGCTTAATTGGTGCTCAAGAAACATTTATTATTATTATCAACATTGAAAACAGCTGTGCTGCGAAATATGTGGAAACCCCGATGCATTTGTTTTCATGATTCTTTAATGAAATAAAGTTCAAAAGAGCAGCATTTATTTGAAATAGAAATCTTTTGTAACATTGTAAATGTCTTTACTGTCACTTTTGTTTAATTTAAAGCATCCTTGCTAAATAAAAGTATTCATTTCTTGTGGGAACTGCAGTGTATAAATAGTATATTGTGCACAACAAACATACAAGAAACAGTGTGACAACTGTAAAATTATGATATTCTTAACAGAACCTCAGTCTTCATTATTCTTAAGTAAATAATTGCCCAATGTCTTGTGCAGTTGAGAAAAGGAAACTGACGAGCTGCCCATCTCTATTGACTGACAGGTCATCCGACACCCTGATCACATGCCCTCCACAGCATTGCTCTGGGCTCACCATGAGAAGTTGGTAGTGATTGACCAGTCACTCGCTTTCCTGGGAGGGATTGACCTGGCCTATGGAAGATGGGACGATTCCCAACACCGACTGACTGATGTGGGAAGTGTGAGAAGAAGCCCTCAGCACAGTCCTGCTCTATCCCCCAGCCTCACTCATGTAAGACCACCACTATTACTCTATAGGCAAGCATCACCATTACTATACTACATACAATCGTTCTCTCATAACCCATTCTGCTCCATCACTATGGATCAGAAGTTTGTTTTTTATTTATTTATTTATACATTTTTTAAGTCTCTTATGTTCACCAAGGCTGCATTTATTTGATTAAAATACAGTACAAATAGTTCTATTATCAAATATTATTACAATTTAAAATAACTTTTCTATTTTAATAATAAATTTAATACATTTATAATGTATTTTTTTAACTCTTATTTATTCCTGTGATGGCAAAACTGATTTTCAGCTGCTATTACTCCATCACATGATCCTTCTAATATGCTGATTTGGTGCACACTAAACATTTCTTAATATTATCAGTGTTGAAAACAGTTGTGCTTTGTTTTCTATTTTAATAATAAATTTAATACATTTATAATGTATTTTTTTTAACTCTTATTTATTCCTGTGATGGCAAAACTGATTTTCAGCTGCTATTACTCCATCACATGATCCTTCTAATATGCTGATTTGGTGCACACTAAACATTTCTTAATATTATCAGTGTTGAAAACAGTTGTGCTTTCCAAGATTAATTTGTTGGATTCTATTAGGAATAACAATAAAATTAGAAAAAGAAAATCCTTGTTATTTTTTAGGGATTTATATACAGAGAGAGGGCAAATCAGAAATAGATGGTATCACTTCTTCTCTATTGGCACAGAGGCGTAAGTGAATTGGACAGGAATAAACTTCTTGTAAATGTGACCCATTGAGAGTGATAGCCCACAGTGGCCCCTCAATGTTTTTCAACATGCCATACATATTGCCAGCTGGGTTTTTCTGATATTTGTCAAAGACCTCAGTGGGGGAAGTCGAAACACACCTGACAGATGCCTGCTAAAACCTCCTCTGAACATGTGTGCCTCTGAACATGTAACTTTCAATCAGAACTGAAAATTACATCTTCTGTTTAAAGCTACTCATTAAAATGTAATGTAAATTCATCTGTAGGACCGCTGCATATTTATTTGTGTGTTATGTTATGAAGTAATTGTATTGATCTGTGATTCATACTTGAAAGCATTGACAGCTAACCTAAATTAAAATTGTAGTGATTTATATTTTGTAGCCGTTCTAACAATGGTGCTCATAAAGGACTGGTCCAGACTGCATTTCAGTTGTATGCTTACTGGGATTGATTTTGTGGCGGGTAATTCAGGGCCTCTGCCTTCTTATTCTTTTCTTTTTCCAACGAGCAAACGTAAAATTGCAATTACGGAGCATCTGGGGCACCCTTGAAGGGCCTGTGGTTGATAATTCCAGTCCTTCTCGCTGGGCCTTTCCTTCCCCCCTGAGAGCTACATTAAATATAAAGGGCCTGCATGGATGAGTGAGTCAACAAATGACTGGGGCTACTAAATGGGAGCTTGATTTCGTCTGTATGCCACCTCTCCCGGCCTGCTGCCTACCTGCCTGCCATTGTGTCATTAAATATGGATCTGAGCTTTTAAATAAACATGATTTGAACCCAGATGAAGGCACTTATTGCATTTACTAAGGGGCTTCTCTTAGCATGCTTGAGTGACTGTATCTATCAATGCGGGGCTCCTCAACTGTAAAATCTTTGCTAATATACATGAAACTGTTACAGCTGTTGGTCTAACCTTTCAAAACGTCTCCTAAGGAGCACAGTGATATTTGCACTTAATAAAATTATGCCCACCAGGAGAATAGTGCTCTGACATTTGCCATTTGTCAAGTCGAGGGCACTATGATCCCCCATGAGCCATTAACTCGCACACATCAGAGGGCATTTTACCCTCGTTCAGACTGGAGTGACTTACACTATCGTTTAAGTCATATCTTCCCTGGGCTGAAGCTGCACGGGTGGCCATTACCGTTCTCCCTGCATACTGCATGCTGACAGCTAGCCTGGCGCTTTAGCCATATAGTTAACATGGAAGTTTTCGTTGTTAAATGAGTGAGAGTTCAGAATAAAGACTCCATTTAAAAATATATAAAATAAAATACTAGACAGTGTAGACAGAATCAAGACAGACAGACATCCCATGTTGCATACAATATATGTGAGTGTTTTTAAAATAGTATACCAAAGGTGCCCAGAGGGTAATATTTGTGGTGGAGAATCAGTGTTGCCACAATAATGGAAAAACTAGAAATATATGATATATAGGAATGGATAATTAATAAAATGTGATAGATAGATAGATAGATAGATAGATAGATAGATAGATAGATAGATAGATAGATAGATAGATAGATAGATAGATAGATAGATAGAAACTATTAATGAAAGTAATGTATGTGTGGGTTAAGTTCATGGATAAGGGATAGTTCACCCAAAAATGGAATATTCAGTCATCATTTACAAAAGAAGATTGTAACAAAGCAGTTTTGGTGGCCAATGACTTCCATTATATGGACAAAAACACAGGCATTTTTCAAAATATCTTCATGTTCCATAGAAGAAATAAAGACACACAGGTTTGGAACAAAATGAGGGTGAATAAATAATGAGTGAACTATCTCTTTAAGCTTTAAAATGTTTTAATGGATTTTTTTCTAAAGCAGTTATTTAAATATATGAACTTAGTATTATTTTTTTAATGAATTTTTGATAATCAGCAAAGTACATACTTTTATTGCATACTATAATTATTGGTATGCAGCTATTAGCTTCAAAGCTTATTAAATAACAAAAGTGTTGCCTATATGTGTTCATTTTTGTCCTGTAGCAGTCAGTTGCCACGGTGGAGGAGGGTGAGGACATGAAGTTTAACGTGGTGGTAGAAGAAATTCAGACTGAAGAAGGAGGAGCAGGGAAAGCAGGAGATTCAGGCTCAGTGGAGGATCCAGGGGAGATCTGTGCGAGCTTAATTTTGCCCTTAGTGGAGGAACAGGGAGAAAACAACCTTAACCTGCCCACAGGAAGACTGCTAAGAACCCCCTCAGAGAAAAGTCACCACAGCTCTGATGAAACAGAGTCCAGTAAGAGGAATTCAACAAAATAAATGTGACATCAGACTCCAGGTTATAGAGATATGATTCTATTTTATATACTTCCCTTTTACTGTTTGAAACTTACATAATCTTGATTAATTTTATTTTATTTTATTTTGCTAGCTAGCTAGCATTTTTAAATTTGTAAAACTTATCTTGAGAAACTTTTCGGTTTGGTGCAGATAGTGGTGCAAAAATTACATTCATTACCTTTGAGTGTGCAAATACCATTGGTAACACTTTAGTATAGGGACCAATTCTCACTATTAACTAGTTGCTTACTAGCATGCCTATTATTAATATATTGGCTGTTTATTAGTACTTATAAAGCACATATTCTGCATGGCCATATTCTACATCCCTAATCCTACCCAATACCTAAACTTAACAACTACCTTACTATTAATAAGCAGCAAATTAGGAGTTTGAGGCAAAAGTCATAGTTAATGGTTTGTTAATAGCGAGAATTTGACCTTAAAATAAAGTGTGACCATTAAGTGTCCAGTAATAAAAGTTTGACATGGATATAACAAATGCATTGCTGTTACATAACAGAAGCTGTGTTTGTGTGTGTTCTGTGTGTAGAACATTACAGTAGGTATAGTCTTAATTCCAGGACACCTCTCACTCGGGAATGTTACACCAAGAGCCTTTCTCTGCTTTCCAGCGATTCGTACTCTCTCGGCCAGCATCACTCTCTCCCCCTGCCTTACGGTTAGTACTCACATACAACCAAACACATCTGTGTGCCATGCATATATTGATACTTAAATCCAGTGTCTATAAATTTATACACACACAACTAAACCTTATTCACCGAAGCTGGCATTGAACTAATCAGTCTTTATAAGTTGATATACAGTATATATGAATTGTTATATCATAACAGTTTCTCTGTGTAAGGCATTTTATTTATTTATTTATTTTCTGTTGATCTGTTCTAGAGACTAGTTCGCTAAGAAGTTACATAGGCAGTACTGAACTTTGTGGAGAGACTCGTTTCTGGCATGGCAAAGACTACTGCAATTTCATCCTCAAAGACTGGGTCAAACTCAACAAGCCTTTTGATGGTACGGAACAGTTCAATTATACCCCAGATGAAGCATATCTGCAATATCACAACCCACAGCCACAGCCAAAATATCTTCTTTTTTAAATGTTTTTCTGAAACGGTAGCGCTTTAGGCTTTAAGACAAAAACAAACTAGCAAACAAGACAAACAAAAATTACAACTACGCAAATTCTTAAGTTAAAGGGGGCATAACACACACAGTTTCACCCAATCTCATGTTAATCTTGAGTACCTAGAGTAGTACTGCATCCTTCATATCTCCAAAAAGTCTTTAGTTTGATCATATTTATAAACGAAAGATACAACTTTACGATTCTCTCTGGAAAAAGCCAAGCTCCTGGAGGCGCGCCGTGGGCGGAGCTAAAGAGTGATGAGCACTTGGGCGCTGAATGTCAGGATGAAGCGCGTTGATGGGCGCGATCTCGCTCTCACTCTGGTCATTGCGTGTGCGGGCGCGCTCTTCCAGGAGAAATGCCCATCTAAGGAGTTCCACCCTTGTCTACGTCATGAAGAGCCACGATCGAAAAAAACTCTCCGAAACTTGTACGAATTTTTGGCACAGAAATACTCCGTCATACGTCCGAATTGTTTTTTTAAACTTTGTCCATGCTTAGCATGAGAATCCAGCTCTTTAACAGTGTAAACAACTCTGAATGCATGAAACAGCATTGTACACCCCCCTCCCCCCCCCACATCTTAGATATAAAAAACAG